CCTCTTGCATAATGTATGTTTAACAGTAAATAGTCATAATTTTGATATATCCTATTCATATTTGTATTATATAATTCAAATTGTGATACATCCTACCCATATTTGTATTATATAATTCAAATTGTGATACATCCTACCCATATTTGTATTATATAATTCAAATTGTATAATATACTTCTGCTTATATTACATGTACTGATCAGCAGTGAATATTCGCTAGGCCGCGACAATCAATGATAAGGATGACATCGATGCGACTTAATTAGCCACAAATATTAACTTTTTTCCTTTTTCCTCCAACAAATTAAATTCTAAAACATTTTTTTATGTATTAGAAAAATAAATAAAGACGTTTGAAGTATTTGTAGGTAAAACTTATTTCCTATTTTAGTGTAAATGGGTATTAAAATGAGTAAAAAGGCACCATTCTGCTCGAATCTGCAACTCTTATGTAAACAATGCACGCGCCATTGAGCCAAAGATTGACGCCGCGTAATACTCTGTAAAACAGATTGGTTGTTCGAAGCTAAGTCTCGCTCCTCCATTTTTAAATTAAAATATGGCTGAACTGTTCTAATCTATTTAATATCGGGGAAATCCGATGTCATCGAGAGTTGATTATGGCCTGGATAAGTTAATTAATGTCTAATTAATAATTTAGAAAACATTTCAGGCCTAAAGAAAGACCTGCAATAGGCAGATTTAGCTGTTGCATAATGTATGTTTAAGTTTCATACACTGTATTCAAGAAGCAAAACTGCTGAATTTGTAAATTATGCAATTTAAATTACGTTGAAGATGAATATCACTTTTTTACTGTGTTGTTTATTTCTTTTTATAATAAAAAGTAACCTTCACTTCATAAATATATAGATAGTAAGTCTTCCACATCACCAGGTATTTTAAACTCACCAGGAAATGTGTACATTTATTATTTATTTAATCCCAGAAGTTATTCTTCTCTAGAATTGTAAATACTTGCCTCACTTGTTTTATACTATTGTATTATTAACATATTTATTTATTTATTGATCTTATATGTGCTTTTGTTGTTTGTGGTGCTTGTATGTTGTATCTTGTACGCAGGTTTGTCTTGTGTGCATAGAAATGTGGACGTATATTGCCGTCGCTTCCGTCCGTCCGTCCGTCCGTCCATCGTCCACAATTTCTTGTGAACGCTCTAACGCCAAAAGTTATCATCCAATTATTTTAAAATTGATATATGTTGTTTACATTAGTGAGATGAAGAAGCATATTTAGTTTCCATAATTTCCGTTTATAACGTCTAGAGTTATGGCCCCTGTTTCCCTTTGTTGAACCTTGTGAACGCTCTAATGCCAAAAGTTATCATCCGATCTATGTGAAATTTATATGCAATATTAAAATTAGGGAAACGAAGAAGCCTGTTGAATTTCACCAATTTCCGTTTATTACTTCTAGAGTTATGGCCATTGTTTCACTTTGTTTAACCTTGTGAACGCTCTAACCCTAAAAGTTATCATCCTATCTTTCTAAAAATTATATGCATTATTTAAATTAGTGAACCGAAGAAGCCTATTTAATTTCAATACTTTCCGTTTATAACGTCTAGAGTTATGGCCCTTGTTTCACTTTGTTGAACCTTGTGAACGCTCTAATGCCAAAAGTTAACATCCGATCTTTGTGAAATTTATATGCAATATTTGAATTAGGGAAACGAAGAAGCCTATTGAATTTCAGCAATTTTCGTTTATTACTTCTAGAGTTATGGCCCTTGTTTCACTTTGTTTAACCTTGTGAACGCTCTAACCCCAAAAGTTATCATCCTATCTTTCTGAAATTTATATGCATTATTTAAATTAGTGAAATGAAGACACCTATTGAATTTCAGCAATTTCTGTGTATTATGTCTAGAGTTATGGCCCTTATTTCACTTTATTGAACCTTGTGAACGCTCTAACGCCAAAAGTTATCATCCGATCTTTCTGAAATTTATATACATTGTTTAAATAAGTGAAACGAAGAAGCTTATTGAATTTCAGCAATTTATGTTTATTACGTCTAGAGTTATGGCCCTTGTTTCACTTTGTGAATGCTCTAACATCAAAAGTTATATGCTGATCTGTATAAAATTTACGTGCGTCATTTAAATTAGTAAAGAGAAGAATCCTATTGAATGTCAGCAATTTCCGTTTATTACTTCTAGAGTTATTGCCCTTGTTTGACTTTGTTCAACCTTGTTAATGCTCGATTGATGAAAGTTATCATCCGATATGTATGAAATTTATATGCATCATTTAAATTTGTGAAACGAAAAAGCCTGTCAAATTTCAACAATTTATGTAGATTACTTCCAGAGTTGAGACCCTTGTTTCAATTTGTAGAACCTTGTGAACCCTCAAACAGCAAAAATTATAATCTGATCTGTATGGAACTGTCTTGTAAAGGCCCCCAATTACCTACAAAGGAATAAATATTCGACAACCCTTATCGACCGCCGGACGATTTAGCCGCTGTGGGCGTATATTTCGTTGCCTGGCAACCTATCTTTTTTTATTTGTAGTGCGGTATTACTTACTTACTAACTTAGCCGCTAATTTTACGCTGTCATATCCATGTAATCGCTTGAAACCTTCCAGGTAATTATTCTCTTCGAAACAGAGATGACATTAAAGAAATCGGATGTCCAAAAAACAATTGAATAGTTTCATGGTTAGACTCCAGCGTGGATTTCTGGGAATCCCAATCTGGGAAATCCGACGTTAATCTGTGACCGGAAGACACGTATCAGACGACGTGATTAAAGGTTTGCAAATTTTTTCTGGACACAGATAAAACCAACGGATGCATTGCACATTAGCTCAGGGGATATAAATGTCGTATTGGTAAATGTTACCGGGAAAAGTTTGGCAGACTTTGTGACGAACAACTAGTTTCATTATATATATGAATCGTTGTGAAACTAAATCAGAGAGATTTTGATTTGACCGTTTTTACGTACTTTTGAAACAGGTTTCGAAGTGTTTTGGTTCTGTTATGCAATATCTTTTTCGACGTTCTAAAGTAAATGTACGGTGCTAAGACCACCTAAAGATAAGTTTTAAATGTTCCTTTTATTAATTAGAACAGGTTTTGCTTTAGTATTTATATTTTACGTTGACATTTTATTGCTTTAAATCTTACTAGTGCAAAAACGGACAATTTGACCTTTTGGCCTCCGAGGTCACAAAGAATAAAGGTGAATATAGCAAGTTAACATTATTATTGAAAGGCTGGTATTCCGTTCGAATACTCTTCTCTCCCTCACCTTCAATATCCTCCTGGATAGTGTCTACAACATAATATTTCATAATAAATATCAGCGTTAAACATAAAAAGTAAAGCGAAACCTGTTCTAATTATTAACAGGAACATTTAAAATGTATCTTTAGGTGGTCTTAGCACCGAACTTTATCTTTGGAACGTCGAAGAAGACCTTGAATAACAGAACCAAAACACCTAAAGATAAGTCTTAAATGTTCCTACTATAAATTAGAACAGGTTTCGCTTCATTTTTTATATTTAAGGCTTAGGCTGACATTTTATTGCTTTAAATCTTCCTAGCGCATAAACGGAAAATTTCACGTTTTGACCTACGGGGTCACTAAGACTAAAGGTGAATTTAGCAAGTTTACATTTTTATTGTTTTCAGCATGTTTTCATGATACAAGAATGGCTGCGCATTAACTTTCATTGCAAATGACCTCATAAGTCTTTTGACCCCGAATATCTCGAAAACGCCACAACGGCGGACTGATTGCCACTCGGCATCGTATTCTACGCAAAATATTACTCTAGAAAAGTTGGGTATCGTATTGTGCCCAGTTGATGGACACCTCCCAGCACTGAGCCTCCAGACTATATGTCAGGTTCATTTAGGGTCACCAAAAATTGTTCCGGTTCGATGAATTTGGATAAATGTTTTTTGACAAATGTTTTGCAAGATTTGTATTGGAGATTTGTATTTAGAAATTTGTTGTTTGAGATTTGTTTTTTTCATTGTATGCTTCTGATGAAATGTAAATGTAAATGTTTTGATTTTCTAAAATAAATTTCATCTTTATAATAAAGATTAAATTAAACAAAAATACAGTTTACAAATCTGATATGACAGATGTCGAATTTTTAACACAAATAATATTGATTTTAAGATACAAATGTTTAGTTTAGTGTACAAATGTCGAAATACGACAACAAATGAAGAAATAAGAATTAAAGACTATGAATTAAGAACTAAGAATTAAGAGCACTGAATAAAGAAATGAAATGAAATGGGGTTTAACGTCCTACTGTTCTGCTCCTATGCGGGACTAATGAAGACGGGCATACGCCATACAGTGTGCTATGAGGGAAATTTTGAGCGGACAAATGCACTATTCTTATATCGAATTCCACCGTCAATGCATCTATTCCATGCACGCCAATGTGTACATGGCACCTCGGTTTTTCATCCCATCCGAACGTGTAGAAAGCTGTTCTTGTCAGGCCCTCCATCCTGCATCACTGACAAGGGGGAACCACGCCGGAAAATCTGGATGAACTTTCTCGGCCAATGAAGGAATCGAACACCCGACCTCCAGGCCAGCCAGCCAGCGTCTTACCCACTTAGCCACCGTGATCAACAATGAATAAAGAACATCTGTACGTGAACAGAGCATCCAAAGAACCATCCGCACAATGTTAGTCCCGAAATGACCGTATTAGTGTTTAGTCGAGGTTAATCTCTCTATTTGTTCCCGGCAGATTTTCTCCAAAGGACAATCAAGTTATTGGCGACAATAACCGTTGGTGTGTGCGGGCCTTAACTTGAGTATCGAAATTATTCCCGCAGTGAAATGTCACCGCGAATTGTAGCAGTAATTATACATTAAAAACAAATTAAAAATGTCAACAACGCATAATTAATACGAAAGAACCATGAACGAAGATTGATTTTGTTCGTGGGGAATCAATATATATATATGTAAATATGTATCAGGTATTTTATGCAAGCTGTTGGAGCCAGTGTGTATATATTACAATGATCAACATAAGCACACAGACGGTCGGTATTTAATTTAACAAGGTAAGTCACTTCCTGTAGAGTGGTAGTTACGTTAACCTATATCTCCCCCCCCCCCCCCGGTGTGGGTTGCAGGTAGCACAACCTATATTTACCCCCACCCCTTCCCTTAGTTTAGGTAGCATAATATTCCACATTTAATAAAGAGAACAATTTGCATGCTGCTAACTTTGTTTGAGCACCGAGCTTTGACGAGGCGTGTAATTCTATCTTAAAGATACATTATGGGAGAGTTGATTATGGTCTGGATAAATTAATTAATGTCTAATTAATAATTTAGATAACATGTCTATAAGAAAGGAGACATTAATAATGTTAATAATTAGCAAGCTGTTTAAGCAAAACATTTTTAGCAATTATTAATCAACGACTTTCAGAGTACCTAGAAAACAATAACATTCTTGATACATCACAAGGAGGATTTAGACCAGGAAAAAGAACAATAGATAATTTATTTTTTTATTAAAGACTGCTATTAACCGAAAATTATACGAAAAGAAAGATTTGTACCTATGTTCTGTCTATTTCAAAAAAGCATTTGATTCAGTATGGCGAGCTAGACTTTTTTGCAAATTAGTTACACATAATATAAACGGTAATGTATATAATATTCTACAATCGATGCATTATAAAACAACTTATAAGATAAAATCTAATGATAAATAGCAAAGGTAATTTCTTCGACGCTTGGTGTCAAGCAAGGTTGTAACATGAGTCCAACCCTGTTTAATATATATGTTAACTATCTACAAAACTAACTTTATCATTCAATTGTTAAGCAGATAGCCCTTTATGGGGCAGAGATTTGGGGTTCATACGTTATCAAAAACAAAAACATAATTAATATTGACAGATGGGATAAATTTGAAGAAAACAGAAGTACGATCAACATTTGTAAATCCATTTTAAATATGCCTAAGCGTGCCAGGAACATGGGATTTCTAGCTGAAGGTGGGCATATATCACCGCATACCGCTTTACTTCAAAAGATTCTTACCGGATAATAAAAACAAACTCCTTGGCACACCATTTATAGCGGATTATGAACTTTCTTGAACTGCTGGTTCAAGATAATCGTTTTGTCATAGCATTGGGATTTTAACCAGATATTTTGAACTTAACCTAAAGAATAGTGACATAATATCTGCCACCGAAAAGAAGTTTGTCGATATTTTCCTAATAGTTATTGATCAAAAATAAAATTCACAATCGATGTATAAACTTCTGACGTATGGAAAAATTAAGCCAGATTTGTATGCGTACTATCTGCACTCCGTTAAATCGAAGGCTCATAAAGTTACGCTGGCCTCGATTAGGCTTAGGACCCACCATCTCGAGTGGAGCGTGATCGTTGTAAAATATTCCGTCACATGCACGTTTATGTAGACAGTGTAATAATAATCAAATAGAAGACGGATATCATTTCATATTTGACTGTAATAAATACAAAATTTATGCCAATTTTCAAAAGCAATCCGCACTTCTCGTGCAATATGATTAATGTTTTGAATCTCCCAAACGAAATTGCTAGTCAGGTTGCTTTATATGATAGTGTCTCCAAGAAAGAGCATCAGAGTTACCTATTAATCAACACCCCTGTTCAATTATGTTTATTATACTAATACGCACGGTAGAAATATTGTTTACTTTCCCAGGCTAGTTTAGATAATTTTCGTTCTAGCTCTATACTGATTTTCATTATACCGACCCGCTTTTGATGCTTAATTATATTGTACACCATGATGACCCCAGATGTTATGTTATAATTGTATGATCACTCTTTGTTTAAACTGGATATACTGTCCTTGGAGGATGCAATGATACAACCAAAATCTTATCTTATCTTAACCTATATTTACACCGTCGCCCCGAATCCCTTAGTGTAGGTAGCATGACCTATATTTACCCCCCCCCCCCCCGCAAACTTAGTGTAGGTACCATAACCTATATCCTTTAGTGTGAGTAACGTAACTTCTATTCCACCCCACCCCGGTATGGGAAACATAGTCTGTGTGTAACCCCCCACTTATGGTGTATGTTACATAACCTATGGTGTATGTTACATAGCCTATGTGTAACGCCCCACCCCAGGTGTAGGTACCATAACCTATGTGTAACGCCTCACCCCTGATGTGGGTACCATAACCTATGGGTAATCCCTCGCCTATGGTGTATGTTACATAGCCTGGGTAAAACGCCCCACCCCTGGTGTAGCTACCATAACCTATGTATAACGCCTCACCCCTGGTGTAGGTAGTAGATATCGTAACCTGTATTTAAGTCCTTTAGTACGGTAAACGTCTCGGTGACCTAGATTGTATCGCCCAATTAAAGTTAACCGAACACCGGTGTGTTGCCCTTGGTAATCCATAAAAGAACAGAAAGCGACATATTCTGTAATGTATTGCACAGACGTGGATTGTAAATTTTAAAACACGAAAAATGAGGTCTCATTTTTATCATCCCAACTTATAAGACTTTCATCCTCAATATTACTCAATATTTGCTCTATCCTATCCGTACCTTAAAATCACTCACATAAAATGTTTGCTCTATCCTATCCGTAACTGATATTATTCACCAAATCCAACGCAAATAACATCTTGGCCATTTTTTTAAAGCTTCCGAATCAGCATGAAAAAGGGACGAAACACGAAAAAAGCAGGAACTGGGAGTAAAAACAAGGAAAAGCAAAAGACAGAAGAATCAAATTCACAGTGGACATTTGGTAGAATTGTGACGTGGACAACCGTATTTAGTTTAATAGCAGCCGCCGTCTGTGCAAATCGGTATAATGTTACCTTTAAAGCTGATCTAGATTTGAACCGTAAAGAGGGTTTACCACAGTCTGTGTTTCGTTTAGAAGGTATGAGGGAAATTTATGAGTTAAGCCTTGTGAAAAATGCCGAGGAAGAAGAGAAATACAATGCCGGCTATAAACAACATATCTTTAATCAGTATGTCAGCGATAAAATAGATCCTAATAGATTCATACCGGATGCTAGATATCCCGCGTAAGTATTTTCATGATATAGGAGTATGGTCTTTTTCATAGTATTTTTAAAATAATATCGGTTTGAATATTTTTCTATCAAATACCTGACAGGGCAGGCAATATATATATTCTAAGCGTACACTTGTCGTTGCTATGGTGATACGAAGATATTTTTTAAAATATATTTTATCGGACTCAAAATAAGGTCAAAAGTTACAATTAAATCCAAGATGCCCCCCCCCCCCCAATTAAAGGTATATAAATTTTTAAAGGGCGTCATACTTGTAAGCACAATTTTAGTGTGGCATTCAAAATTATTGATTATAATGGTTGATAATGACACAGAAATGGGTTAATAATTATTATATAACACGTTGATTCTATGACATCATAGACTATTTTCAAGATGGTCAATTGTATTATCTTTGGTTGTATTTGAGGTAGACTATAGTTTTGGGGGTCTAGGAATGCGAATTCAAAATCAGATTGTGCGCATTATTTGTAGTTGTGTAGTTATGCTAAAAAAAATGAACATACACCAATATAATATGGTGGTAAATCAATAATAATAATTTATAATGTGCCCAGCTAGGAGCTGCTCAATAGCAACAATACAATTGACAAAGAAACAATAAATACAAATTATTCTCGACAATACAAGAAGATAGATTAACAAGGGGTTGGGATGCAAGAAAATGTGCCCAAATTTTGCAAGAGATGGGCGGAGAACAGGAACAATCGAATTTGAAAAAAAAATATGTTCCAGAGTAATGTCTCCTTAACAGATCCGTTTCAAATTTTGTGTGAAGCATTGTGTTAATGAGATGACAAACCCTATCGATAGTTAGCTTTTTGTAACCTTCTGTTCCGGAGTTACTCCCCTTTGCCGAAAATCGTGTGAATGCGATAGCGGCTACAGTTTTTAACATATTTGTTTCAAATTTTGTGTCATCAGATCATCAGGGTCATGACATACCCTTTCGATATTCAGCTTTCCTTGACATTCCTTTCCTGATTACCCCCCCCCCCCCTCTCCAAAAACCTGCTTGTCATTTTTGTTCGCACTCATTGATATGCGGTTGTATATTTCATAATTGAGTCTGTGTTGTTAATGCACATTCAATTATATAGGAAATACACTTGTATACAACTACAAAATCAGATTCATCCGGAATCTTTGGACCCTTAACATATGTTTTAAATTTCATCTAAATCGTACCAATATTGCGGGCTCTAGAGGGTCCAAAAACTTTGTACATATTTCACTTTTTGCGTAAAATGTAGTGGCCATAACCCAAGAAGTTCAGATCTGATACGAAACCAAAAATAGAACTTAATAAAGATTGTTTGATCCTTAACATCCATAAGTGCTGCTTTTGATACTATAGATCATAGTATTCTGTTTCAAAGGCTGGAATTTTCAGTTGGGGTCTGTGGTACCGCATTGTCATGGATAAAGTCATATCTTCAAACAGGTTTGTGTCTCGACCCGTGCTCTTACAATAGGTGTCCCGCAAGGATCTGTACTGGGGCTTCTATTTTTTCTCTTATACATTCTTCCAATTGGTCAAATCATAAGAAGACATGGGGTAAAAAACCACGGCTTGCTGATGACACCCAAATATATGTCTACTTTCAGTACAACAAGGACTCTATCAGTAGACTAGAGTCTTGTTTTAATGACATTCGAGGATGGATGCCCAGAAATAGGCTAAAACCGAATTTCTTGTCATATCATCAAAATCCAGTAAATTGTTTAAAGCGGATTCTATTCAGATCGGTAATTGCTCTATATCTCCCAAGAAGCAGCCTGAAATCTTGGCTCCGATGAATCTATGTCCCCAGTTCCCCAACTCTATAGCATCGTACGGAAAATGCATCTTCAAATGAGATGTATTTCGAGAATACGCTCTATTCTTAATACTGATACCTGCCAGAGCGTTGTTAGAGCATTAAGAAACATCGCATAGGAATATGCAAATTCACTTCCATAAGAAGAACCAGAAACAGCTTTGAACAGACTACAAATGGCGCAAAACAGTGTTGCACGTCTCATAACTAGAACACGAAGTTTGATCATATAACGGCTTAGTTACAGAAACTCCATTGGCTTCCAGTTCGAGCGATGGTTCAATTTAAAGCTCTTGTTTTTAAATCAATCTATTCTGGTACTGCACCCAGTTATTTAAAAGAACACTTTGATTTCTATACTCACCGGCGGTCCAACCTTCGTTCTTCAAGTGATCATAGCATATTGAGGATCCCTAAATATAATAAACGTTCTGGTGAATATGCTTTCACCGTCAGAGAAGCTAAAATGTGGAATGATCTTCCAAAAACTCTTCGAGGGTCTTCTTCCATCCAGAGCTTTAAGACTAACTTAAAAACATATTTATTTGAAAAAATTTTTTGAACTGTTTTGTTGTGAATGCGCTATGAAACACTCATGTGTAATGAGTTAGGAGGGGTCATCACTCTGGAACGGAAGGCTCGATATGCAACCGAACTCATGCCCGGTCTTTTGATCCATAACATATATGGTAAGTTTCCTCTGAGTCGGACAGACATTGTGACCTGTGAAGGGTATGCAAACTTTATACATATTTCACATTTTGTGGACAAGGCACGAGGCATAACTCCATACCGGAAGGTTCGATATGCATCAAACCGAACCCAGCTGAGATCGTTTGATCCTTAACATAATATTATCTCTGAATTGGACAAAACATTGTGGCCTCTGGTTTGTATTGCTTAATATTTGGAGAAAAAAAAACATGCTTTGCCACTATGTGCTTACAAGAATGACCCAATTTAAGAATTTATGCACCTTTAATTTTGCGCACGCCATCTTGGATTTAACTGAGACCCTTGACCTTATCTTAAGTCCGATTTTAGTCAACTGTTTGCAACGTGCTCGGAAGATCATACCAATTGAGATAAAGTGAAAACATCCTGGTTAGCAATTTGTTCTAGGTTGCCTATAGTCCAAGTCATGGATTGACTAGATTATTCATAAAACTTGTTAAACCCCTTGAAAATGTTTCAAACACGCAGATTTGTTGTACTGTGATTGCAAAATCTGGAAAGGAAGTTAAAGCTACAAGCATACGCATCAAAAACTACATGTTATGGACATTTCCATACTTTTGTCAAAAAGTGAACGATTTTCCACAGAAAAATGCAACCACCCAAAGCCATATTACACTTTCTAAATATAGATAATACATTTTCATTTGAAGTTCTGTGTTCGCGTATTTTTTTTTTTCAGCTACTCAAAGAACACTACTGTCTGATTCATCGTAAATTTTAAACGGAGTTCTTCGATTATGAACAAACTACTTAACGTTGGTTATTATAAACTTACCTGTGTGTTTGTAATGAACTCCCGTTCGATAAAATCCATTGCACGACTAATTATCACAACGATGAAAACAAGTTCTCTCTTGAAAAATTGAAATATCACAAACTTTTCCCAGAGAAAAATACCAATATGGAAGATGGTTACGTCACTCTGCGGAAGATATCATTTCGTATTAGGGGTGACAGCATAGGAAATTCAAGTACAATTACGACAAGAATCCATGACCACTCGGACCAAAGATCCCTCGGTTCAAGACCAGTCGGACCAAGTGATAGACCACTCAGCCCAAACAAATAGACTACTCGGACCATACAAAAAGACTATTCGGACCCAACAGAAAGACGACTCGGACCAATAATAAAATGTTGATTTAATAAATTGATAATTGCGTTTGTTTTAATATAATTACTCGAACCAATAATAAAGTGTTATTTTAATAAATTGATAATTGTGTTTATTTTAATATGACTACTCGAACCAATAATAAAGTGTTATTTGAATAAATTGATAATTGTGTGTGTTTTAATATGACTACTCGAACTAATAATAACGTGTTGTTTGAATAAATTGATAATTGTATTCCAAATCGCAAAATATCGAGAACCACACTTGTAGTCACGTTTAAAAAGGGGCATATAAACGTCCGGTCTTCGTATTATTATGTGCTGTTTATATTAACGCATCAAGGGCGGATAACTTGAAAACGTGTCTCCCCCCCCCCCCCATATATAGTAACCCAGGGGTTAGAGGGGTAGAACGGAATGAAACCACTGGGGATACCGCGAATGTGGAAAAAGTAAAATTAGGCTATCAGACAAGAACAGTATACCCGTATATGTAGAAACTGTCAAAAGTCTGGACATACCGAGTCTCATTGCAAGAGTAAAGAAAAATTAGACTGATATTTTTTTTTGGCACCATTATTAATTAATTTTAAAACTAATCGTTGATTTATTTACGTACACAAAATTGAACCAAACAACTCTAAATATAAGAATTCCGTATAAGAATTATTTGCTTCTTTGTATTGTGATTTAATAATAAATAAATAGCATATTGTCTAGCCTTATAATATAATTTAATTGGTCCGACTGGTCTTGTTTTGGTCCGACTGGTCTTAGTCCGAGTAGTCTTTGGTCCGAGTGGTCTGGATACCTACGACAATTGGCATTGAGTTTGAGCGTTCGCACACATAACTACCCGCATTCCTGTATTTAGTTACCGTCTTTTACATTCTAGTAAAATCTCTGCAAATTTTATAGCTTTACTTTTTGAAATATTTTGTTCTAATTATTTGATTAGCGACTCGGATGGGATTATTTACTTTTGAACACTCATATGCCGCACAAACACAACTATACATTCGTTTTACGGGCTTTATCACACTTCGGTCAAAACTGTCGAATCGAGAATTAATGTTCCGCTTCTTACGGGGTCATACGGGCTTAGTAGCATTATATACCCACCCGGGCACCCAATACGGCAATAGACACGCTGAGGGCTGCCGCAACACGCTTAAAGATGTTACTGAAGCGGTTATTATTCGATCGAAAGAATACGTATAAAATTAAAAATACACTCAGAGAATTCGGAGGTAAGCTTCATGATCCTTGTTAAATTATTTATAACATAAAGAAGATAGGATATTTATAGTTTATTCATGACTTTATTTTTACGAGTATCCGTGCAATCAGTGATATTTTAATTGTGAAGAAAATTTGATAGACTGGCGATCAATGGTTTCCATATAAATCTCCTATGTAATTGCCTTCAATTGATATTTTTCGTCGCCCAAACCCATATACGATCAAAATGATCGCGCTGTCAAACTATCTTTCAATGTTAACCAACCCCCGCAACAGGTATATTGGATTCGACCAATACGTCACGAAGACATTGTTGACATCGACTCTGTCGAAATTACAAGTAAATTTTCAAATTTTTCAAGAGAGAAATTGTTCTCATCGTTGTGATAATTAGTTGTGCAATGGATTTTATCGAACGGGAGTTCATTACAAACACACAGGTGAGTTTATAATAACCAAAGTTAAGTAGTTTGTTCATAATCGAAGAAATCCGTTTAAAATTTACGATGAATCAGACAGTAGTATTTTCTATATGTTAATGTAATTATTGTTACTATTGCGATATATTTGTTATATGTTAACATAAATCGTGTTACTATGGTGATATATTTTGCCAATATTTCAGGTGTAGATCCCGTAACTGTTGTGATATATTTTTTCAGATGCATATCCCGTAACTATGGTGATAAGCTGCCAACTGTTAGTGTGGTTATATGTTTTATAAACGAAGCCTTTTCAGCTTTAATAAGAACGGTTCATTCTATTGTAAATAAAACACCTTCCCATTTATTGGCTGAAATTATTCTTATAGATGACAACAGTCAGCTGGGTAGGTAGCATTCTGTTATAAATAAAACACCTTCCGATTTATTGGCTGAAATTATTCTTGTAGATGACAACAGTCAGCTTGGTAGGTAGCAGTCTGTTGTTAATAAAACACCTTCCGATTTATTATTTATTGGCTGTATCGTCACACATCACCAATAATTTCCTCGTTGACGTTAATTCGCGTCTCTTAGACCGGCTCTAACTTTTTTCCCCCATTTTTTTGGGGGTAGAACGCTTTCTACCGCAGATAGAGCAACATGTGACAAGCTCTTGCTCCAAAACACGTATGAGGTTCATCATGGAAAACTTGAGATACACAAATTGGAAGTAGAGACTAGTAAATCAACCTGTTAACTCTGGTATCCTTCCTCCTCAAAATCATGAATATTCACCAAACCTTGCAGAAAATGTATAACCAAACCCTTTTCTTCGATTCTTCAACAAAGATCGCCATGCAAAAGGGGGAAAATGGAAAGGGAGAGGAAGACTACACATAACTTTCGCTCCTGTTTCGTGACGGCATAGGAACAATCGGTTAGATGTGCCCGTATGACAACAGTCTGACGGCGTAGGAATAATTGGTGAGCTGTATCCCTATGGCAATAGGAATAATTTGTGAGCTATTTCCGTATGACAACAATTCCCAAACCTATCCTTTTTTAGAAGACTGAACTCGAATCCAATTACCTTTTACTCCTCTTAAAATGGTTAGGGTCAGGGTTAGTTTTCCCCACAATACTTATTTAGATAAAGCGGCCATTGTGGATTCCGGAAATTCCAGAACCTCCCCAATCGGCCTACACATACGATCTCCCTAAATAGGCTAGGTAGGTAACATTCTGTTATAAATACCCCCTCCCCCCAATTTATTTAGGAAGGTAACATTCTATTATAAAAAAAAACACCGCCTAATGCAGACATTATTCTTGAATATGGTAACAGCTGCTTAGGTAGATAACATTAAATTTACGTTTTCTCAATTATTGACAGAATTATTATCGATGACAACACTAGTTGGGTTAAAAACAAAACACCACACAGTACAGCATATTATTGACAACTTTGGCAGCAGAGGCAATTCGAAATACACATTACCATTATTGAAAAAACGGTCAGAATGCTTCAACTACGTAAAACAAAACTGATTCATTCGCAGAATGTACGGCAAATGTGGTGTTCAATGTCTCGCCACATTACCATTATTGAAAAAACGGTCAGAATGCTTCAACTACGTAAAACAAAACTGATTCATTCGCAGAATGTACGGCAAATGTGGTGTTCAATGTCTCGCCACTTCAGTTATCTCCCTTATCTTCCATCCCACCAAATATCATTCCATTTCACTAAAATAATAGGCAAATACTGTTAAAAAAATAATGATAGAAAAGTACAATTAAATGAATAACAATACTTGTGGTAAATACATTATTTATTTATATTTAGCATTTATCACTAATACTATAATAAGTAGATATTTCAGTTTATCGGACAATATTTTGCACTTTTTCGTGGAATTAACGAATTAATATTAAAGATTATTTTGGTTTTGTGGTTGTATTTTGTAGCATTGGGTTATATTTTAGCTGCTCGATCTGTCGATAATGATACTATAAATAGACTTTCCAGTGGACAGTACAGTCTTCTTTAATATAATAAATGAAGTATTCTCTCAGTTTTTCACAATACATGCAATAAGGTAGTATGTGGTAGTGTTTTGTAATATTGAGTAAAGTGTCTTGTCGCTAGAGCGGGCATGTTTTCGAGCAAATGGAAAATCTAGCTTCTATAGCCCTTCATGCAAAACGAGCATTTTTTTAGTAATTGTGATACACGAAGTTCATTTTGAAGTAAGAGGCCCATGTTCAATCACGGGCGAGGTGACCCATGATTTTGCACGAGGAAAAAGATCCCGCCCGGACCCCAAAAACAATATTTATATGTGTGTGCGGGGGGGGGGGGGTGACAGTCCCTCCCAGTGTCACCGGGTAATAATGGAATGTATGGAACGTGCTCGTGTCGATTTGTAGCATATCTGACCTATATGTTTGACACTGCTTGAGCACTATGATTATGATTATAACGCATTGAAACCGCGTGAATTTTTGCCATTTGCGAGGGGCGCAAAAACTCAAGGGGGCGCAAAAACTCAAAGCCATGACCAAAGTTCTTCATTGCTTCCAGCCGATCCCGAGACTGTCCATGAATCAACAAGAATGAAGATTCATTAGAAAACTGTATATTTACAGGTGATTTGAAGCAAACCCTAGATGATTATATTAAAGAGCATTTTCACAATGTTATTCTTTTACGAAACGGAGAACGAAAGGGGATGATTTCGTCAAGAATTCGAGGATCGAGAGCAGCAAAAGGGGAGGTAAGTTTAGAGCATGTTTCCTTTTCTCAATTGTTACCTTAACGCACCATCTGTTTTAAATATTTCGACGGCACAAATGCCCGTGCATGCTATATGCAAGGATGATTGCGATAGTAAAATAGCAACATCTATGAGTTGCAATAATCTGGAATAAACTCCTTGAGTAAAAGAGAAAGACACGCTTGAAAAAACAAATAATTTCGATAATGTGTTTATTATTAAGCACTTTTTAACAATACTATATGTAAATAGACGAAGAGTAACGATTGCACACAACACAATTAATATTCTAATTAAAGTCAAGATGGTTTGTATTTTGGGTTGGGCATTTTTGAAAATATTTTAATAAAATGACAAATCTTGGACATAATATTTCTATAGTTTTAAGGTTTTTAGAGGTAAATGCAGAATGCAGTTATCTAGGCTAGTGCCACTTGAAGTAATTGTCTCCACCTAAAATGGAAGGTTTATAATAAACTAAAAATAAGATGAATGGATGGAGATTATGTTCTCTAGAATAGTGTCGTCACCAATCTTATTAATATCAATATCATTATTAATACTGGTACTAATATATAATATATATTATATATATTATATATATATATAAATATATATATATATCAGTGAGTAAGACGCCCTCTTGCTAACCAGAAAGACCCGGGTTCGCTACCGGTGTTGGTCGAAAATGTTCGAAAGCCTGACAAGGAAGAGTGTCTAGGCGTTCGGATGCGATAAAAAAACAAAAAAAAACGGGGTCCCCTGTACACATTGACGTACACATAAACGAGACCTTATGTGTGACGTTTTGAACAGAATGGCGTAGTCTCGATTTTCATTGCTAACATTGTTACGATATTAAACAAAGTCTCGAATATCAATTTTTAAGTTAAAATTATTTAATGCGATCGTGGTTCAATCCATTAAAAATCAGTACCATCCGACGATCTCAAGGGTTGGTTATGGGCTTGGCATGTGAATACATGTCTAATAATCACATAAAGAATGTTTATAATACCGATACAATGTTTTTATTTATTTGAAGGTTTTGATGTTTTTAGACAGTCACTGTGAAGTAAATATAGGATGGATAGAGCCACTATTATCTAGGATAATGGAGAATAGACGGATTGTACCCTCACCAATAATAGACGTTGTTAATACGGACACTATGTTATATGAACCAGTACAGTTGCTGGGCGTTGGCTTCAATTGGAAACTCTTGTTCCGGTGGGATCCACTACCAGAAGAAATTGAAAACAATGAGACAGCTAGGTCATATCCTATGAGGTTATTTTAATTCTTGTTTAGTAGGAGATGAAATGGGGTTTAACATCCTACTAGTATTCACCAACTGCCCTAAAGAAGACGGACGATCTGCTATGAGGGGCATTTTGCGCGGACGAATTCCAACTGTTAGCGGTTATTTTACGTACACTGCAACGTGTACACGGGTCCTAGGTTTTCGTTCCATCCGAACGACTAGACACTGTCCTTGCCATGCTCCCGTATTGGACCAATGATAAGGGGGAAACCATGGCTGGAAAATCCCGTGGAAATTTCTCGACCAATACGGGGATCGAACCGCGGCCGCCTTGGTTAGTGAGAGAGCACCTTTCACGGTGAGCCACCGTTGTTCCTCTTCAACAAGAGGATTTCCTCAATATAAATAGCTTACTGTTTCGTTTCGTGTATTTGTTCTGATTTTACAATACAGTTGTTACCTAACCAACTTTTTAACACCATGATCTTAACACTGTTTCACACCAATCATCTTAAGACCCTCTTTCAACTGTTGAGCTAAATTTGAGAAAACTGGACACCCATCGTTCACCCCTTCCTCCCGGGTTCTCATATTAGGACAGGATGTTTCTTTCATACTGATTATCCTTAGGCCGTGTTTCAACTCTGGTGAAAAATGGCATGAAAGGCCACACCTAGCTCTTTTTAAGTGAACACGCTATAAAAATATTACAATTTTGGCTTCTGCTAATTGGCTACTGATAACAATTGTAAAAACATCGACAAATATTCAGTTTCAATCGAAACCATTATTGTTCACTCTTGTCAGTGGTTCGGGACGGAGTGTCTGGCAAGGGACGAAAACCGAGGTCCTATGTATATATTGGCGTGCACGTAAAAGAACCCTTGACAGTTGGAGTTCAATATAAGAGCAGGCCAAATAGCACCACTGATCGGGCAAAATTTCCCCCATAGTACAGTTCATGGCTAATGCCCGTCTTCATTAACCCAGTTAGTGCATACATGTAGGACGTTAAACCGAATTTCATTTCATTTTCATTGGCAACCAATGTATGTTTTAAAAAATACTTAAATGTGTGTGTGTGAAATAGATTTGTTTTACGTCCGCTTCCACCTAAGTAATATCGCAGACAACGATGCTAAAACAATGCCATAATCATAAATTGCTTTGTTTACATGAACAGAAAAGTATTGATTTGTCCCCTTTCTTATCTTTTTAAAAATGAAAACATGTCTATTTATCTATAATTCTCTAATAGATAAGTTTTAAAACATTTATATTTATATAAAATTTCCTGCTACATAAGTTTTAAAACATCTATTATTTATATATATAAAATTCCCTTCTAGATAGGTTTTAAAACATGTCTATTAATATATAATGCCCTGCTAGATAAGTTTCAACAACCCGAACTCTTTATTAAAATGTGATATAATGTAGCCGTATTGTATTATGTTGGCAAGGCTATATAAGGTTGCTTATTTTGTCAGAAAAAATAGGTAAGGTACAGAGTTGAACCGAATTTGTCCATCAGATTTTTGCATAGATCCTTCTGGTTTTAATCTGTTAATCTGATTTTTGGATGGAATTAATACGAGTTCTAGGGATCTTGTTTTTGAATTTGGGGTTTTGACAATACGTGTATATCTGTTTCAGGGCCCCTGCTATGGCTGGAGGGTTGTTTGCTATCGACAGAAAATATTTTCAGGAACTAGGGGAATATGATCCTGATTTACAAATCTGGGGAGCTGAAAACATGGAACTTTCTTTTAAAGTATACTGTCATTATTTAGCTTGTATTCATTAATAAAATTATACTAATTCTTTCTATTTTATTTCCTACTCCGCTTCATCTTGGTCCCAGGCCATTTCTTTATAGGGCGTATACCGCGATAAAGCGCAGATTGTTATTGGACGATTCCAGATCAATCTACCAATCAAATTGCGTGATACAGAAAACTCCGCGAAATCTTCTTAAACGCTTTGCTTATCTAGACATTAATCCACTGTTTGTGGTCGATGGCACGATTAAACTTCGATTGCTTGAGCTGGTATCTTTTCAAATTGAACATACATTATGCGAGAGCTAAATCTGCATATTACAGGTCTTTCTTTAGGCCTGAAATGTTATCTTATTTATTAATTAGACATTAATTAACTTATCCAGGCCATAATCAACTCTCGATGGCATCGGATTTCGCCGATTAGAACAATTCAGGCATATTTTGATTTAAGGTAAAAATGGAGGTGCGAGACTTAGCTTCGAATAACCAGAACGGTGGTTGAAATTATTGCACACGTCTTGTCAAACCTTCAAGGGCTAATATCGTCGTTCGCAATAGAGTAATTTGAATGAAATTTCCAAATATTCATTTTACATTATCCATTTTCGAACTGTTATAGCAAGAATGGCTAGTTCTTTATCTAAATCTTACATAATATATCTTTAACAGATACTGGCATTTTTATTCCTCCATACTTTTATAAAACCCGCTTTCCTGAGTCGGAGGCTTGATTAGATTTTTTTTTTAAATTATTTTTTTAACTCATTTTTGGTGTTTGTAGGTATGGCAGTGTGGAGGACAACTTGAGGTCGTGCCATGTTCACGAGTTGGTCATATCTTCCGGAAGTCCCGACCTAATGGTGGTAATTCAAATGACCATTTACACCGTAACACAGCCCGTGTGGCCAATGTCTGGATGGATGATTATAAGGTTTATTTCATTCCAATTTACGGTTCCTTACAGGGGTATTTGACAACTAATTTTAAGACAATTTTCCAGTTTTCATCAAGAATCTGTTAATGAATATGAAATATTCGTGTCTTCTTTCATATTTAAGTTGGTGAGCTGCGGGACCCATTTATAGTGCGGCGTCCAATTTGGGAAAATTAATGTGTCAAAAATCGGCCCTATTCACACAGGAGGTTTGTCGCTCCCGCACAGTTAGTCTTGATCATACCTCCCCGTTTCTACTATAAAGACAATGTTCCTTGTCGAAGCTGCGGCATTATATACTCTTCAAAAAGTAGGGGATATTGAAATGCAAATACATATATGCAGGTTGTGATATGATAAATAGTCATGGACACTTAACATGCTTTGAGAGTATGTTCACAGATAAACATCATATCGCCCCAACAGAACCACTGAGGTGCACATGCGACACGCAATAGCGCCATACACGTGGGAGGGGTTCTTTGTCAAATTTGACACTTCAAGGAGGGGTTGATGAAAACAGCCGCGTGCTGGTTTATCTATCCATGTTTGCTTTCCTATCGGTTCTTGCATAAGATTTACTGTTTATGATATCTGCTTTAGTGTATTACGTTTAATTTGATCGGGAGACGTGTTAGTCGACGTCAACGTCATCCGACAACGCTGCAAGAATTGGGCGTGGCACTGCAAGAGGGGTGGGTCAGATTGTCCCAAATCGTGATTGGACGGTTGATTAGGAGCATGCCACGACGATATGCTGAATGTCTGAGGATTGGTGGAGCAATTACTCATTATTAAGACAAAAATCAGAAACGTCCATTTTCACTTTTGACGGTGTATCTCTTTGCGAGTGAAATGGGGCCGTCAGATAAGCCTCCCATATGAACTGTTCATGTTCATGTGTACGCAATTGGCCTGTTATTAACATACACTGGTTACCTCTAATAAAACCAGCAGTGCATTTCCGGAGTTTTTGTATTGTTTCTGAATATCCCCTACTTTTTTTGAAGAGTATAGATTGGAATGCTCAAAACAGTCACACGGCGGACCAGTCGAAGGGGGTTGTTTTAGGCATTGAGAATTGTGACCTACTAGAAATGGATTATGCACAAATGTATTTGTTTATTTCAGAAATATTTTTATCAGTTCAACCCTCAAGCACTGTCTATGGATATTGGAAACATATCAGATCGTGTAGCTTTACGGCAAAGATTAGGATGTAAAAGTTTTAAATGGTATTTAGATAATATTTATCCTGAACAGGTAGGCCATATTGTATAATATTCTTGGTACGATCTGGTCATATTTCTCATACTTTATCGAACGGAAACTAATTTTCTTGGTTTGTATACCTGACAAAATCAAAGGAAATTGTTGACTCGCTCTACTGCTAAAGTACAAGTACTTCCTTGATTACGGTAGATAATTGCATAAATAAATAAAAAAATACGTCCAGGTAAAAAATTCTCCACTTGACTTCATACTTCATAGCGCTACAAAAAAAAACACAATCCCTCCTGCAACTATTTCCCTAATAAATATGTTTTCAGTCTGGATTTTAAGGAGTCTAATGATGGACAGAAAATAAGTTTTTCAGATAGCGAGTTCTACAAATTGGCAGCGGCGACTCCAAAGGAGCTGTATTTACTTTTTGGGACAAAAAGGTTGTTTTTAGTACTTGATCTCAGATTTTTTGATGGCATGTAAGGTACTATTATTTATATCAGATAATATGTCACTACAGAGTACACATACATTCATATGTAGGAAACATCAATTTGAAGTCAATTTTCGCCAGAACTGGAAGTCAGTGAAGTGACTTAAGTACATGGGCAATATTGTCTCTCAGAGGGTTTCCCGTTGCGATCCACACTGCTTTGTCTTGTATACACTAGCTGCAGTGGATATATTGATGCTTTATTTATTCCGGAGAGTAGACTACAACAAGTTTGTAATATGTTTAATTCTATCATTGTTTGATAACAGTGAGAGCAACCTCAGTGCAACGTTACAGTTAAAACCCCCCAGATCTTTACAATGTATGCGCATGTCTGTTTTCATCCCAGTTAGGAAGGTCTGAAATTTCCACATGCCAGTCAGACACCAACAGGCTTAGGGGGTGGGGGGGGTGATGTTAGGGTTAATTCAGCTAGAATCTGAAATTTCCAATAACTGAAATTAGTTACACGCTCGGTCGTACTATGTATATTCGTATTATTTGTTCGTTCTGGTAGTTGCACTATCACCCATACCATTTGCCTATTTAGACGCATACATTGTAACTCTGTTCTATTTTAGTCTTTCCTTTCTTTCACTATCCCCGTTTCTTCCTTTTGCATGGCGATTTTTGTTGACATTTTTGGTCAAGAATCGAAGACACGGGATTGAATGTACATTTCCTGCCAGGTTTTCGTGAATATGCATGATTTTGAGGTTACGTTGAAATGTATGACGGATAGTTACATGTTTTCTTGAATGCTACTTCCACTTTGTGTATCTCAAGTTTTCCATCGTGAACATCAATCAGGCTTTTGAACAAGAGTTTGGATACAGTTAGAGTCGGTCAGAGAGACGAGAATTAGCAATGGTGAAAATCACTGGTATTACGTGGTCATGTGATCACCAAGCCAGGGTGACAACATAATACTTGCAGTGTTTCGTTTAATTAGACCTAATCCCACTCATGCACTGCCGTAATGATAGTAAATTTCTGTTCCAAATTATGACTAGCCAATAGTCCGATTAACAACCAATGCCTATCTGCGTCAGTATGTCATTCGGGTTTAAACCGAGCTCCACATTGTTTACATTACGTTACGTCATGAGATTTTTACGCACAATTAACCAGTGCATAGCTGAATTTGAAGAAAAACTAATTGCGTGACAAACGAGGCTATCAGCGGTTACAATGTAAACAATACTGTTTGGAGACGAACAATACTTTCACCGTTTTTTATACCTTAAATCACTGTCGAAAGTTTTAGGGAAGACCCCAGATTAAACGAAGGGCTGTCATGTTGCTGTACTTAGGAGAGAATTGATTGTACGGGAAGAATAGACACGCTCCCTTAAAAGCTCAAGTATCAGAAGTCAATCTAGCAATGGCCAGAGAGAGAGATTTCTCGGGCCATTGCTTCAGGAATATGGGGTGACACGTGGAAAATTAAATTATTTTCGCTAACGGTGAAAATGAATCAACATGCTGTGAGTTCTAGGGACGTTTTATGCAGTTATAATAGCAAAATGTTCCAACACAAAAATCCAAAATGTCTAAGGGACTGAGGCTGTTAGCTACCTGAATCCATTACAGTAATTGTGGGTGCGTACTCTTTCGTATTTTATTTCGAAAACGTTGTGATCTCGATATTAAGGGTTTTTTTTGTCGAGCAGACGTTATGCCCGTTTTTTAGTTCTATAGACATCGTGCTAACCCAAAATGTCAAGAAAATCATGCTGTTAAATGTCTGAATCTATAACAGTAATGGCAGATGCGCGGCGTGCTCTTTCGTGTATTTATTTCTTTTTTTTAAAAAAACCTTAGTCTCGATTTCAAGGATTTTTGTCTAGCAGATGTGAAAAAAAAATGTCATATCCATTTTCTACTTCTGCAGGCATTGTGTTCTGTTATTTATAAGTTTCTCTCTCTCCAATAAATGATTTTTTTATTTTGTGAAATTCAGATACTGCCATCAGATCCCTTGTTCGAAGAGAAAGAGGCTGATAGAGAATCAAGAAGAAGGCAGGCTGTTATTCGAAATAAAGTATCCAAAGCCGTTAGAAGTGGCCAGGTGAGCTATAAAGTGACCGCCACGGTTATTTCGAACTGCCACGAATTATAACGCTATATTTCGAGGTGATGTAAATTGGAAATAATCACTGTTGCTTATAATCAAGATATTAAATTTTTCGGTCCGTCCAAAATATAAAAAAAACCTGCATGAATTTCTTTTAAGAGTCTTCTCTCTTTTCCAGATTTTTCACCGAGATTCTGGCTTGTGTCTGCATTATTATCCTACGAATAATAAACGAACTATCACCATGAAAAAGTGCTCAAAAGATAATCCAGATGCTGTAAGTCTTCATCAAATTTATGGTGTCATTATAATACCATATAGACATAATTTATAACGTGTGAAATGTCTTTGCTTAAAGATGCATTATGTAAGAAGTAAATAAAAAGCCGACCGTTCTTGCTGTAATAGATCAAAGTAGATAATTAAAAATAAATATATTGAAATTTCAGTTGAATTACTTTATCCTGAGCAATGTTATGAATGTTTAAAGTTTTGACAAAAACCGCCATAAATGGCCAATTACCAGTTTCTATTCTCTATTGTCAAGTACCATTGTCACGATCACGATAATAAACGAAGTCTCGATTTTCAGTTCTTTGATTGGCAGTCTCTGTGAGTGCCGGCCATATTACCGTTTATTCCACTCAATATCTAATCCATCCGATGACCTAGAGAGTTGATTTTGGGCTTGTCATGTGCATAATTGTGTCTAAATAATAATTCCTATAACATTTGAAGCTAGAAAAACGCCCTGTCATAAGCTCTGGAATAACACCTTCAATTATATATTTTGACGGTTTCGAATATATGTCTCAGGGAGTATGTTTAACAGGTCACCTGTCTGACCATCAGGGATTACTCGAAATCTCGAAACTACTTCCATTCTTATATAAAAGAGACACGGTTCCAAGGATCTTTTTCAGCGATACATCTTGGGATATTCTCTATTTGATGCGAGCTTTAATAGAGGAGACGTTTATTCTGTTAAAATACTATATTCGATTTTTCCCCCAGGAACAGAACCGCGACGAGTCCTGATTTCTTTGCTGAGGGTATATATTTTGGATAGTTCCATCTTTATGGAGTCACGATATTTTTCCTTTCATCGATTAAATCTCAACATTTTATAGGTTTGGACAGAAACTAACAGAAATGAATTCCGTCTAGGTACTGGTAACTTTTGTCTTGATTCCGGAAGTCCCGATGGTAGAATAATGATGTCACAATGTGCGTACGATGCTTCTCAAATATTTATCTGGAGAAAACAGGTATGTCATCTAAGAGAGAGAGAGAGAGAGAGAGAGAGACTTTAGGCAAGTGACATTAAATCTCGCCATAAAGTCCGAATGTAACAGGACTTAACCACCCAACCCTATTCATCAATGTAAGTCGTTTCAGGGGCGTGCTGGCAGGGAGTTTAGGAGGACGGTGTCCTCCCAGGCCCCCATTAAACAATAAGTCCACCTGAGAGCTCTAATTTTCACGCGGAATCCCCTCAAAAAATTGAGAGTGCGCACGTGAAAAATCATACATACACAACGATTAGTAAAATATATTATGCTGACGTGCAAATGTCTGTCACCTTAAGGTGAAATGGTCTTTGATACATGTATTCATGCCTCGATATGTATAAGATACAATTTATTATTTGGATAGAAATACATTGTATTAGCATTATATTAAGCAGACCTGTCATGAGTATCTTGTGTAGTACAGTAGTATGTCTTATAGTCAAAATAGCAGCATAAATTTGGAAAATATGATACCTAGATTTCTCCCAGAAGTGCTTGCAAAACGCGTTTCCCGTTGTCAAATTCCGTCGGCGCGCTAGTCGCATACGGCGACTTCGGGGCCCGTCCTCCAGGGCGCCTTCGGGGCCAGCACGCCCCTGAGTCGTGTGACTATAATCTTAAAAGTAAGGTGTAGGTTCGCTTGGTGATCCGATCTCCGGCCTCCGTGGCCGTGGGCATGTAAATTAATTTTAAATGGATATACAATATCCCCCCCCCCCTAGCCCCTCCCCCTCAACCATTACTCTTTCTTTACTGTCGTTATCCCTTAAACATTTTATTTTTCAGAATTCTACATTACAATTGTTTAACCCAGGGATTGGTAAATGTCTACAACCTTTATCTCACAAAGAAAATTCCTACATTGAATTAGTTTACTGTAACAATCATAGCAATATGAATTTTACGCTACTTTAAATAAGAATTTAAATTTTGTTGATCGTTACCGATCGATAAAAAAATATTTTTTGGTTGGAAAGAGAAGTCTCCAAGTTGCAGATTCTTTGTAATATATTTATATTAAGTAGTTTCCACAATGCAGAGCCCCGCGTACAGCTGATTGCGCTGGTTGTGACGTCTTCGGGATAACTTGTCAGCCCGTGTTTATAAACATTAAGGATGTCCGTGGGTAGAAATCTACTACAGTTTCGGGTAATAGCTCGCGCGTTGCTTTGTTTATAATTTATGACAGTAACCATCATTACCTCATAACCGGCATACTAAATTGTTGAAGACTAAACGATTTGTACTTGAATTTAAGCCAATGTGATTAAAACACAGATCCTATTTCGTTTCGTTTTTTATAGTTCAAAATTTCATTTTACATGTTTTATTACCGGTGTTTTGATTGAAGTGAGGGATAAGCGAACGAAACGGTCTGTTACGGCGACTTCTTGGCGTGCCATGCACGGAACTTTGGCTAAAGCACGAGAAACGTCAACGTTGATTGATTAATCAATGTCTGACGTCATAGGGTCAAAAGTCGCTCATACGATCCCTGACACGACCTTCGAGTACAACTTGTCAGATCTTCATGTAGTGTAGGCTATCGAAAGTATAAAAAAACGAAACGAAATATAGATCTGTATTTTAATCAGATTGAATTTAAGCACACTAGAATCTATTCTAATACAAGATAATCGATACAATATATAAACAATCTCCCACCTACCAATCTATGGAATTTATATACATTTTATAGCCATATCCACCGTACCATTTCGAACAACATATACAATAGTCGTATCCAACGTATCATTTCGAACAACATATTTTATAGCCGTATCCACAGGGTTGATTCATTTCGAACAGCATATTTTATAGTCGTATCCACAGGGTTAATTCATTTCGAACAACATATTTTATAGCCGTATCCACAGGGTTAATTCATTTCGAACAACATATTTTATAAAATTGATTACATTTTTCTTTTCGTTGAATTATGACAAATACGTAGTACATGCACATCTGAAAACTCCGACTCGTTATCCACTGTCTCTTCCATATCTTGACACAGTCACACAGGGCTAAGTCTATGCTTACTCGTTTTAGAATACCAGTATGATTAAAGTTTACTTTTGAATTTATTGTGTTTGAAGTTTTGAAAAGTAATCTCGATTGTTAAGTACCATTTCTACGATACCAAACAAAGTTTCGAGTATCCATCTTAAATGGCGCGGGTTGTCTAATCCGTTCAATATCCAAGCCATTCGATGGTCAAGAGAGTTGATTATGGGCATGTTATGTGAACAAATGCCTAAATAATAATTTATATAGCCAGAAAAAAGACCTGCAATAGGCAGATTTAGCTCTTGCATAATGCATCTTTAACTTCATAATGATAATAAAAGATAATAAAATAAACGTGCCTGTTAACTGTTTTCAGCCTCAAAGTTCTACCCCCCCCCCTTTTTTTTGTAAAAGCTCCTAGACGTTTGCCTGAATAATATATATAAACCTCGCAACTTCTTAAATAACCTCCCAGATGAAGTACCAGCAAATGCTATTCTTGTCACTTATCTATCCAGACTACGAAACTTTTTGCAGCACCCCCCCCCCCCCCAGTTACGGGCCTGATTTCTAAAGCCCCCTCCCCCAGGTACGGGCCTGGTTTCTTAAGGAATCATTTCTTGCCACATCGGACACAAATTTATAATAATCCAACACTATTGTCATGTAAAATTGTTCGATACAAAAACACAAACAAAATTCGTTTGAATTAGTCAATATGCCTGTATATTTACGTAAAAGAACCCTTGGCAGTTGGAAGGATTAAAACTAACAATAGGTTTATTATGTGTAATTACAAATACTTTCATCCCGTGAGTCGCCTTTTTATACGCCCACATTTAAATGTGGACCTATTATGCCGTCGCCCCTGTTTGTCCGTCGGTCCGGACGTCCGTCTACAATTTGTTTGTGGACACTCTACAGGTCACAATTTTTATCCGATTTGGACGAAACTTAAAATATAGGTCTATCTCCGCAAGATCTCGGTTCGTTTTGATATTGACATATATCGGACGATCACTTCATGGATTATGGCCCCTAATTGTACGAAAAATCACGTTTTTAGCTTGTGGACATTCAAGAGGTCACAATTTTCATCTGATTTTGATGAAACTTGAAATGCATGTTTATAACCCAAAAATCTTGGTTCCTTTCGATATTTGCGCATATCGGATCATATGGCCCCCGATTGTACGAAAAATCGCGTTTTTAGCTTGTCGTCCTTCTAGAGATCACAATTATTATCACCGTTACACTGTACTGATGCTTAAGTTCGAATTTCGTGAAAATCTGACTAAAACTGCCGGACAAAATGGCCGCCCCTCGTACGCAAATAGTGTAAAAAAAAATGGTATATCAAGGTTGTGGAGAGGTTATAATATTGATCCGATTTTGATGAAACTTGAAATACATGTTTATAACCCAAAGATCTTGGTTCCTTTCAAAATTCGCGCATATCGAATCGTAACTATCATCGTTACATCCTAATTATGGCTGAGTTCGAATTTCGTGAAAATCAAACCAAAATTGCCGGACAAAATGGCCGCCCTTCTTACGCAAATAGTGTAAATATATGGTATATCAAGGTTTTGGACGATCTAGAGGCCACAAGTTTGATCCAATTTTGATGACACTTGAAATACATATCTATTACCCAAAGTGGTTTGTTTCAATATTCACGCATATCGGATTATAACTTCCTGAATTATGGCCCTTGATTGTACGAAAAATCGCATTTTTAGTTTGTGGTCACAATTTTTATCCGATTTGAAAAAAAAAACGTTTGAATATATCACCGTTACACCCGCATGAAGGTTGAGTTCGAATTTCGTGTAAATCAGACCAAAACTGCTGGACAAAATGGCCACCCCTCGTACCGAAATATATTACATGGTATATCAAGGTTGTCGTCCCTCTAGAGGCCACAATTTTGATCGGATTTTGATGAAACTTGAAATACATATCATTATTAATAACCCAAAGATTTTTTGGTTCCTGTTGATATTCGCGCATATCAGATCGTAACTTCCTGGATTATGGCCCTTGATTTTTACTAAAAATCGCTTTTTCTTTAGCTTGTTCTCCATTTTCTATCTCATGCAAAATGTGGCCGTATCCTGTCTGGCATCCGCTGGTCAGATTCAGCAATCGGTCTTCAATATGCATATATTCATAATTTTCTTGAGATGTTTACAAATTTAATAGCCGTCTTTGCCAGTGGGTTTGTTAGTTTCACCCCATTGCTGCTTCCATTTAAAGCTAGACGCAATATATGGTTTTCTTTTAAGTCCACCTCCAAAATGAAATGAAATGAAATGGGGTTTAACATCCTACTGTTCTGCTCCTATACTGGGCTAATGAAGACGGGAAGACGCCATACAGTGTGCTATGAGGGAAATTTTGCCCGGGCAGCGGCACTATCGCCTACTCTTATATCGAATTCCAATATATACACGGGACCTCGGTTTTTCGTCCCTCCGTCCTGCATCACTGACAAGGGTGAACCACGCGGAAAATCTGGATGAACTTTCTCGGCCAATGCAGGGATCGAACACCCGACCTCCAGGCTAGCGAGCCAGCGTCTTACCCACTTAGCCACGTGATCCCCGACAAGTCCACCTCCAAACTTTTGGGAAATATTCTCCTCTTTTTTTTACTTCCGTTAATGTTATTTAGTTTTTCATTTTGAGTGGTCTGTATCACTACAGGTCCTGGACTGTACATTGTGTGTGCTGCACCCCGCCCCCTGTTACATTATAAGGGTGAGAGAGGTCACGTTAGACAATAGGCTGACCGACTCCTGACCGATGTGTAGCCAACATCAATATGGTTATAGTGAAATAATCTATCAATGACAGCTGATTCATTGTGTAGTTTTTTATTTTAATATATTAACATTAATATACTATTCAAAAAAAGTAGGGGATATTTGATTTTGGGGGCATAATACTAAAATATGCAAATGACTACGAAAAAAGTCACTATAGAACCTAACAGAAGAAACATTTCCAGTTACATGTGACGCCCAAACGCACCAATAGCTACCGCATGGAATGCAGGTGATGCTTGGGATCATCATGGGGGTCCAACCCAAGATTTGCACGACTCTGACTTTGAATGTTACAGTCATTGTGGCATTGAATTCCAGGGTGGAAACATCAGTTTAATTGTTTTAGTGACCAGAAAACAAATTTTGATATGCGTCGGCTTACCCAAAATGAAAGGTTACGTGCCCTTGGCATGCTACAGATCGGCACAACACAGGCGGTTGTGGCGCGGACGATGAATGTTTCTCAGTCTGTCATAAGCAGACTATGGTCCAGATACCGTGATACACAATCTGTACAGGACAGACCACGCTCAGGTCGACCAAGGGCGACAACTCAAGCCCAGGATCGATTTATCCGTACCTTGGCCTTGAGAAATCATGTCATCACAGCAAATCAGATCAGCGCTCGTCTTCAAACAGACACTGGTGTGAGAGTAGTGGCCAGACGATTCGGAATCGACTGCATAGAGGTCACCTTCGCGCCCGACGTCCTCGCGTGATCCCTTGTTTGAGAGATCATCACATTCAGGCAAGACGTCGTTGGTGTAGGGATCGTCAACACTGGGATAATCGACGCTGGAGCAATGTGATGTTTTCAGATGAGTCAAGGTTCACTGTTGATTTTTTGGACAGACGTAGGAGGGTGTGGCGTCGTCGAAACGAGCGCTTCCAAGACGTTAACGTCATCAGACATGATCGATTTGGGGGTGGTTCTGTTATGGTGTGGGGAGGCATCACTGTTGCTGGAAGAACGGCTTTACATGTTGTTGCAGGGCGTGTTACAGGCCAGTACTACCGGGACAACATCTTGGCAGTCCATGTTGTGCCGTTCGCACGACGTCATGGCCGCCGTTTCATCTTCCAGGATGACAACGCAAGATGTCACAGGGCCAGGATCGTTACAGGTTACCTCCAACAACAGAACATCACCACATTACCTTGGCCAGCACTGAGTCCCGACCTCTCCCCTATCGAGCATGTCTGGGACATGCTTGGACAGAGGTTACGTCAACGTCAACAACGTCCTGCCAATGTCCAAGAACTTGCTGCTGCGTTGCAACAGGAATGGGACAATCTGGACCAAAATGACCATAGACGTCTCATTAGGAGTATGCCACGTCGGATCAATGCTTGTTTGGCAAACAGAGGAGGATTTACCCGTTACTGACTTGGTTGTGATGCTGTGGTAACTTTGCTGTTTGACCCCGGGTATCATTTTACCCTTATAATGGTCAGTCTGTGCCTTACTTAGTCTAACGATCATTTGGAATAAATCGATGAATGTGAACTTCATTTCATTTTGTCATTTGTTTCTTCGTCAGTTTCATTAGGTGACTTTAATAACACTTAAAAATCAAATATCCCCTACTTTTTTTGAATAGTATAGTACTAGTACAGTAGATATTATTAAAGACAAATCTTAAGCTGATTTAAAATTACATGTATGTTTAAGCAGATCTATAATTACATGTATGTTAATAAAAACCTTTGCTAACACATAATTTCTCTTTATCTGGATGACAAGCTTGACATCTTTTACAGACATATTGTTGGTCCACATATTGTAAAGGCAATCGCTGCAATCCTTCACAAAAAAAGTGATACCAAGTGTTTTTATCACATATCAAATTTGCATCACATGCAATAAGGCGGCCTTTTACTCTTGAAAACTTTGCAATAGTTTGCACATCCCAAAGTCCAGTCGTTAGGTACATCCGTGGTGCTATTATTTAATGAAGTGCTGTCGGATGAACCACTGTCAGAAACAGAATTATCAGACGTGATTTCTATAACGTTATTAACTATAGTCGGTTAAACAACAGTGTTAAAATCTGCTATAATAGTGGCATCATTGTACAGTTTCAAACCCTTTTTTACTCTCTCAGTTAACAATTCAGGCACTACATAGTCAGTAAAAAATAACTTTAATGAAGGTAACATCTCATTATTCCAATAAAAAGGTTCAAAAGGTACATTAACAACAATATAGTTCACTTTTGACCATATCAAGAGTTCTGCTTAATATGCTCAGATAAAGCCTGTTGAAGTAGTATTTGTTCAAAAAAACCTCGTGCATGTCCTTTCTTTAAGTAAGGCTGGCCATTAATTATATTGATATAATCTAATTTCCCATTCTTCATGCAAGCATTGATATCGTCGTTACGAAAACTGTATGGACACTTAACTTCGACAAGTTTTCTGCCATGACATGAACAAGTTATTGTGCAATCCGGACTAACCCGTATATATGGAAATTGTGGATGAACTAGCAATCCTGGAAGAAAAAATTAAACATCTTTGTGAG